GTGCCACTGATTGAAAATGTCTCATCTTAGCACATGGTCTGCAATGGTGATTCCTGGTCACCTGTAAATAAAGTGAAATGGATGGCCAAAGGACACAGCAGCAAGTGTCCAGAAACTCACAGTTAAGTATGCTCAGGGATGGGAGAATGTTGAGGTGACAGGATGTTTACACTCCCAGGGAGAGCTGTTTTAAATCTAGGTTGAGATTTACAGCTAGAAAAGAAGGTATGGTGCCACCACTTGCTGGCACTCTAAGGCTCTAGGGAATTAACAACTGAGCAATTGATGAGCTGTGTAATGAGACCACAGCCAACTGTCAGAGTTACACACACAAATGCTGGCTGTGGTGTCACACACCTGCAATCCCAGTACATGGAAGCAGAGGCAGTAGGATTATGAATTTGAGGTCAACTTTGGCTATGTAGTGAGATGACTCCTCCTCCCCGCAAAAGTGACAACATCAGCAAACACAGGTATCAGACAGTACAGGATTCTAATTGGCAGGGAAAGGCAGGCTGAAAATCTGAGCATTAGACAGGGCTCCTGCTAATGAGGGCTCATGATTCCTCCCACAGATCCCCAATACCAACTCCTCTGCAGACGACACAGCTCACTGACTATCTCCCAAACACAGTCAGCTTTCATGCTACCTTCCCTAGTCACACCACTGTATCCATCTGGAATGTTCTCCACCCACAAGTTCACCCAGACTAGCACTACTCATCCTTTGAGACTTAGCTCAACTCCTCTTCAGGGTGTTTCTGACTCAATCCTCAGCATTCCCTCCACCCTGTTTTGAACTTCCAGAAGAATTAAGTTTGTAGAATTACTTGGCACATAGCCATCTTAGTTCAATAAAGCTTATCTAGTTTTCTATTTTCCAAAAGAATAGCAATTGTCACCTTCCTCCCTGTGTTTCACTGACTTGCCACCTCTTTGAGATAAAGAACAGAGCTTACTCATAATTCTTTGCACCCTCCCATCTCATCTTCTAGAGTACCTTAAACAAAGTTTGATTACACCATTCTCTTCTGTGCACATAGGAGTGAGGTTCTCCCTAAAGATCTAATCATTCAAACCTTTGAAAGTTTTCACTAATGAATGTGAAATCCTTAAAAAAAAATTCTAAATGTTGTCCTTCAATTTACTTAAAAAGAAAAAAGCCACAGGGCAAATTCAGTGGTAGAGCACTTTCCACTGACAATAATGATGGCAGTATTAATTTTTAAAAGCCACAACCATTTAATTCTATTGCAGAGAGATGAAGGGTGTTATTCTTTGCTTTACCCTTTCTTTTCTGTTGGGGTTCGGGGTGGGTTTGTAAGACAGTATCTCAATACGCTAGAATTGAATTTGCAAGCTTCCAGACTTAACCTCCTAAGTACTGGGATTATAGGAATAAACTACCATATCTGGCAAAAAGAAAGTTTTAAAAATTAATTTAATTCTGACTCTAAGCCTTCAACTTTAAACTCAGAAAATTCCTCAAAGTTCTAGCTAATGTCATGTGTGTAGTACATGTGATTAATACATATATAGTACAAATGATTAGTACCATGATACATTACATATGTGTAGTACATATGGGAGTTGAAATAAGACACTATATTCAAGTGTTACCATTGTGTCTTGTAAGCAGTATATATTTGGCAAATGGACTTGATGTCTGATAATCTGAAATGATTAGTAACTGACAGCAGCTTAATTGTAAAGAGGCTTCTCAAAGCACATAGCTTTCCATCACAGGGGAAGGATGGTAGAATCTCAAGTAATTTAGAACAAGTTTAATTTGTGAAATTGTTAGTTTACATACTCTTTCTCTGCTTAATGTACACTTGAGAAAACTTTGAACAACATTGCTAATAAGTACTTGCCAGGAAGTAGTCTTTGGAATTCTATTTATTAACTAATTTAACCTCGAGGCAACCCTAATTCTATTTTTTAAAAAAAACCAAAACAATAAAGATACAGAAATATTTAAGTACACTATCCATAGGCCACAGCAGAAAAGTGGTAAAACGAAAATCTGAATCCCAGCCACTGACTTGGAACCCACGTAGTAATGACTACAGCTGTAACTTCTTCATTTTGATTAGGATGGTATTTAAAATCATTTACATAAATGTTGGGTATCTAAACTTGGGTTTAAAATTAACATATAAACCATGGTGTCACATGTTAGTAATCACAGCACTCAGGAATCTAAAGAGGACTGCATTATTTTTGAAGCTATACACGGGGAGACTAACAAAAAATAAATACATAAATAAAATCAACGACCAACTAACAATGAAATAAAAAAGTGTAACATGCTACTACAACGCCGTGGATATGATCTGTAGCTGGCTCTCTAACAGTGGCTCCACATTCTCAGTCAATCAAATTCAATCAGCTGAGAACTAAAAGATTTAGAGAAACATTTTATCACTGTAACAGTGCTGACCATGTTCAAACTTTTTCTTGTCATTATCCCTTAGTAATAATAGCAACACTTTATATAGTATTTATTACATTGTATTGGGTATTATAAGGAACACGATACAATGATTTAAAGTACACAAGAGGGGCTAGAGATGTAGTTCAGTGGTAGAGCACTTGCCTAGAGCACACAAGGAGATTGAACAAGAGTTCAATCTCCAAGACTGCGAAGGGAAAAAAATTATATATATATATATATGTATATGTATATGTATATGTATATGTATATGTATATGTATATGTATATGTATATGTATATGTATATGTATATGTATAT